CTGGGGACTGACTCTGCCTTCTGTTTGTATGTTTTAAGTCTTTGGTTCCATATCCATGGGAGTCGTGTGGAGGCAGCATTAAGAAGGAATAATTTCAGCCTGCTCCTCAGTTCTGGGAGGAGCAGAATTATCCTATCAGTTGGTAACTTTCTAAGCCAATAATTGTAGCGTTTCACAATAGGTTGAAATGTTTTGAAAGTGATCCAAGAAATCTTGACCTAGCTTAGATTGTAAATAAGATGATGGCCAACATCACAGCAACACACTCACGTCTAGGTATGACCTAACACCGGCAACACAATCCATGGTCTCGGCATTGGCCGTGTTCATCAGAGACAAGAACTCTCATTCTATACACAATCAATCTGTATGTCCTCCGTCTGATCCCGCTAGTTACGGTTCGGACTGTTGACTGTATTGGCTAATTTACGTCAACTACCTGAGCTGCAGTAGGACTAGTTTGAATATACTTGTAAATTATACAAAATTACATATAATATAAGCATTTTCTGATGACGCAGTTAGGGATACTGACAATAATTTATAAACTTTCACCCAACCGCTAACGGACCTCATCTGTCCCACGGTGCTTTGGGTCTCGATAGAAGCTCTGATAGTAAAGGCAGATAGTATTGCCGGCAAAGACAAGGAAGACCGGAATGGTCATTTCTGGGTGAACGTTCATCAACAAATGTCAATATCCGCCGACCTAAACCGACAAGACAAGGAGTTCGTGGCTCACTGGTTACGGTGTTTGACTCTGATCAGAAAGATCTCGAGTTCAAGGCTCGGATAAGACACAACTTGGGTCTAGGTATGACTGGTTGATGACGGCTAATAAGCCAGAGATGGCCATTCCAGTCTCCCTTTTCTTTGCCGGCAATACTATCTGCCTTTACTATCAGCTGCTACGGCTGTCAGAGCTTCTATCGAGACCCAAGGCAGAACAGGACAGATGAGCTCCGTTAGTGGTCAGGTGAAAGTTTATCAACGAGTGGTTGACTGAGAGTCAGGCTATAATAGCGCCTTCTTAATGTGCCCTTAATGACACTCACACTCCGTGGGATTCGAGTTAGGTGTGATGGCACGCCTGGGGACGGCTTCAACCGCGTCGGTCCCTGTGCCGTCTCCCGTCTTCTTGACTTTGTCATGACACCGGGCCTACTCGAAGTAGGCGGCGGCAGTGCGATAGATGCAGAGAAAGTCTACTATCCCTATAACCTAATTCACCGTCTCTGTGTCATCATGCTGCGAACCGCGTAATAGACGTAGACGAAACCGAACTGTCATAGTTCATGAAATAACCCACGACTGTAAAACAGGCATCTCGCAGTCTCCCCTGCAAAAGTTACTGACTTATAACCGTCTTATTTTTTTAAAGAAAATTAGCGAGAATAGTCAGAACCGGGAGCTGCGATCTGACCTTCAACACCAGCTCACTTTGGTGTGCGCTGAGCGGGACAAGCTGATTGG